TTCTAGAATTTTATGTTATCTGTTGGTTTTTGACTATGCCTCTAGCATTAGTTTTTAGTGGTTGTTCTGAGAATTACATTATACACCCTTAATTTCTCAGTCTACTCAGTGTTAATATTCCTCCTTTACCTGTGATTTCTGTCCCTATGTTGCCTTATTTGGGGCACAGTGGCTGTGAGTAGGTAGGCACAGGGGCCTGGGTGAGCTGGCCTGTGCTTGTACGCACAGCAGTCCTGGCTTCGGGTTACAGCAGTGTGGTGAAGACAGCCCTGGGCACAGAAGGCCAACACCATAGCTCCAGCCCTGCTGCCCACCCACTGTGCAGCCTTGAGTGAGTCACTAAATGTCTTTGAGCCTCAGACTCCTCCTTTGTGGAGCAAGGCTTACCGCCTGTCTGCTGGGATGGAACTTGATGATGTCTGTGAAAGCCCTTTCTGAAGTGTCAGAGGTGCTGATCAAACCAAAGGAGCTATGATCCTGTCTCAAGATCCTAAGTCACTGGGATCACCACCAAAATGAAGCACCTTTTTTTCGCTGGAGTAGAAAACACATAACATAAAATTCACCATCTTATTAGCAGATGCAAAGTACTGCATACACAATAGATAAACAACAAGGTCCCAGTGTATCACACAGAACTATATTCAATAGCTTGTAATAACTATTATGAAAAAGAATATATATAGTATCTATATTCCTGAATCACTATGCTGTACACCAGAAAGTAACACAACATTGTAAATCAACTATACGTCAATAAAAAAATTTACCATCTTAACCATCTTAATAACAGTCCATATTGTTAGAATATTCACATTGCTGTGCAACAGATCTCCAGAACTTTGATCTTGCAAAACAGAAACTCTGTACCCATTAAACAGTATCTGCCCCCATCCCCCTCCCTCCAGCCTTCGGTAATCACCATCCTACTTTCTGTTTCTATGAATTTGACTATTTTAGGTGCTTCATATAAGCAGAATCATACAGTATTTGTCTTTTTGTAACTGGCTTATTTCACTTAGCTTAATCTCTGTAAGATTCATCCATGTTGTATCCTGTGTCAGAATGTCCTTCCTTTTTAAGGCTGAGTTATGTTCCATTATATGTATATGCCACATTTTGTTTATCCATTCATCTGCCAGTGGATACCTGGGTTACTTCCATCGTTGGCTGTCACGGACATGATGTACAAGGACATGTCTGCAGCCCTGCTTTCAGTCTTTCTGGATATGTACCCAGCAGTGGAGGTGTTGGATCACATGGTAGTTCTGTTGTTAATTTCTAAGGAACCGCCGGACTGTTTTCCAAAGCAGTTGCACCATTTTACTCTTCCCACCAACATTGCACAAGGATCCCACTTTCTCTGCTTCCATGTCAACACCTGCTATTTTCCGTTGTTGTTGTTCATATAGTGGCCCTCCTAGTAGGCGTGAGGTGGTACTTCACTGTGGTTTTGATTTGTAAATGAGGCACCTTTTGTTTGTTCTGGGACCCTGGGTCCCTTGTCAGAGCATATCTGGTTCTGCTGGTCCCGTAATTCACACTTCTGGTTTTTTGTGAAGCCTCCAACTCCCTCGGCCTTCAGTGATGAAGCTTCGCCGCCTGGCAGGGCCCAGACTGTACAGGGTGTTGTAGGCCAAGGGAAGGAATTGAGGATTTCTGCCAAGTCTATATTTAGAAGAATGTGCCACAGACTGAAAGATAAGCGTCTTGGCCTATATCGAGCAGTGTTGGTCGGGGGAGCGGTGGTGAGTTGACTGGTGCTATGTGACAGCACTGACAGGACCCAGAATATCTGCTCCTGCCAGCCTAGCCACCTTGTCCTCCTAACAAGGGACAGCCAAGTATTACCTGATCACTAGTGGGCTCATGTGAAATCAGTGCCAAGCTCTGTGGATAACAGGCAGGAGTGTGTGGGATTCATCATGCAGCCCGTGTGATACACACTGGGCTTCGGTAGCCCTCCTTGATGTAAACAGAAGATGCTCCCTAGCTGTTTGCAGTCTTTGTGTTAATTTAAGCTCCTTTGTCAGTCTTCCTGATTTTCTGGCCTGTACTTGCATCATGTCCTCTGTGGTTCCTGTCCCTAGGGTGGTGGTGGACAGCTGAGAGAGAGGACCATGGCTTTTGCCACGTACATTTATGAGCCACTGTGTTCATCTTTGTACCCTGCTTCTAGCCTGAGGCCAGGGCACAGCAACTGATTAAAGAATGAGAAAGAAATAGTGATCAGATCCCTGCACTTGCCTCCTGCTCCCTGGAGCCCACCATCCCCAGGACACAGCCTGGTGGCACCTCTCAAGCCCTGCTGTGAGGACCCATCCTTAGACACGTCCAGGGTGATCAGGTGGGACTGTGCTAGGGAAATCCTTACAAACGGTTGAATAGAGGCATCTTTCTTCCTCATCCCACTCATGAAACCTTAATAATGCAAATAATTCAAGACTGTGTGTTAAACTCAGCTTAGGGTACCAGGAATCCCTGCACCTCAAGGTAAACCATCATTTGGAGAACCGTCTCCAGTTGTTACCCTGGAATTAAGTGTGTTCTGGAGATAGTTCCACCAGCATATGTGGTCGTTAAGGAGTGCCGCTCCTGGCTTTGGACTTCTTGTCTTAAGTGGGTGGTGGGCACCTGCCCTCCACCTCCAGAGGGGGCTTCTGCAGTGGGGATTGTCCCACCTCTGTCAGCGGCTCAGGGCATGAACCATGATGAAGACAAAAAGCATAAGGTGGATGTAAAACATGCTGCTGTTGACAGTCTGTGTTTCTCGTCTTGCTGGCTCTTAAATATATAATGATGTGGTGTTTATATTGGCTCATTTAGAAAATAACTTTTGATGGCCTATCTGTGTTGGAGATACAATGAGGAGGAAGATCAAGGTCCCTTCTTCCATGAAGCTTATATTTTAGTAGAGGAGAGATAACAAACGTGTAAGTCAGATCAGATAGTGAAAATTGCCATGGAGGAGACGGGATAACAGGACAGGGACGAAGCAGGGGCAAGAGCTTGGTGAGGAGGTGGCACTTGAGCTGAGAGCTGAATGTAAGAGCAAATGTGGGTGGAAATGAGTCTCAGCAGAGGAAACAACAAAGGAAAAGGGAGCCCTGGGGCAAACAGGAGGTTGGCATCTTCCAGGGATGGAGAGAAGGCAGGAGTGTGAACAAAGCATAGTGATGAAGGGGGAGGTGAACGGATGAGGCAAGGACCAGACAGATCAGTGGTTCCCACTTTGACTACACGTTAGAATTATCCGAGGAACCTAAAAAACATCTTCTGGTGCCAAAGCTCCACCTCTAGAGATTGTGATTTAATTGGCCTGGGTGGGGCCTGGATGTTGGTGTTTTATGAACGCTCCCCAGGGAGTTCCATAGTACAGCCTGGGTTGAGCACATCAACAGTGTTGATCATGCAGAGTCTTACAGACTGTGGTAAGGAGTTTAGACTTTTATTGAAAGACAGTGGGAAGCCATATACTAGTTTGGGCTGGGGAGTAGCATGATCTGACTTAGGTCCTTAAGAGACTCACTTTGGCTGCAGTGTGGGGACTGGAGGTAGGAGGTTGTTGAGGTAGTTCAGCTAAGAAATGATGGTGGCTTGGACCAACGCTGCTATCAGTAGAGATGGTTAGAAGAGGGCCGTTTGGGGATATGTTTTGGAGGCTGCAGTCACCAGATGGACTGGGTTTAGGATGTGAGGCAAAAGGAAATCAAGGTTGCCTAAGAGTTAACCAGGGTAACTGGATGGCTGGTACTGCTAGTCACAGACATGGGAGAGATGAGGAGAACAGGTCGGGGAGGAGGGGGAATAACTGTGTTCACTCATTGGAGTGGAAGCTTCAGATTTACCTTCTGTCTAGATTTAGGTAACTTGTAGATACACACAGTCAAAGCTGAACAAAAGATTCTGAGAGATCTATAATGCTGAGAGTTTCCTTGAAGTCTTCCACAGGTAAGCGCCAAAGGCAGTTGACCATTTTAGTGCATGGAACCTGTGCTGAGAATGGGAGGGGAGGGAAGTGTGAAGACATGAAGCTTCCTTCATGCAGAAATCAGGCTGGATGTAAAGGAAAGGTGTACTTTGATAAATTGTTATAGTTAACATCTGTTTTGCTGCAAGAATTCAGTGGCATAGTGATACACCGAATCCAACATAGATTCAGATATTTGTATTTGACTTTGAAGGGGATGTTTTCCCCCAACAAAATTATCTTTTAAGATAGGTCTAGTTTGCATTAAGATTATGATTAATTTTCCTTCCCTGACCACACCCTGGGTGTCCAGCAATTAAAAATAATCCAGATTTTTAAGTCAGAATCAAATTATTAAAATTGCTTACAAGACACTTACATGGAGAACAGTATGGAATTTGTTAGGACAGTTCATTTTCCCCCTGATAGAAGTTGTATAAATTGCAATGGTAGAGCAGGTTGAATGGTTACATCAGAAAAAGGAAAGCCTTGATTATAAGCTCACTGAGAGCAAAGACTGTCTCTTATAAAACAGTTTCTATTTTTTAAAATACCTAGTGTCTCTGCTCACTCTGGGACTTTTTAGTAAAAAAAATACTTGTTTAGTAAAGTTATGATATCTTTTTAACTGAAAGTCTTTCTTGAATTGGTACTTAACGTAAATAGCTAAGCAGGAAGGTTGACCAGAAGGCACCTGAGGTCCCAGCAGTCCCTTTGTTCTTACTAAAGAGACTCGAGACGTGGCTGCCATTGAGTGAAGGACTTTGAGTGAAAGACGAGAGAATTCAGCGTGGTGTGGCCATCTAGAAAATGGTCATGGTCTGAAACTCCTTAATAAAGCCTGTGCATTGGCTCCAGGCTTGGAAGTGGGGCCAGCAGCCTGTGAGATGAGGCTGCGTGGCGTTCAGCTCTGAAATGTCAGGCCCCCTTGCCGTCCTTTATACCTGAATGGGTTCCTCATAGTCAGTGAAACAGAGAGGGACCATTGCCCGACTGCCTGCTGACCTCGCTTTGTGCACCTTCTTCGCAGATAACTGCAGTGACCTGAACTCGGAACTGCAGAGGGTGCTGACCGGGCTGGAGAACGTCGTCTGCTGCCGGAAGAAGAGCAGCTGCAGCCTCTCTGTGGCCGAGGTGGACAGGCACATCGAGCAGCTCACCACAGCCAGCGAGCACTGTGACCTGGCTATTAAGGTAGTCACCCACCCCAGCCTCTCTGTCCTGGCTCTTGCAGACCATATGAGGGACATGATCAGATCCCTCTCTTCTGAAGTATGATTTTCCTCAAAAAACCTGTTAGGGAATGAGTGTTTCTAAGAAAGCCATTTTAGAGAGAGGGCCGCTCGGGAGAAGCAGGAGCCCCGAAAAATTTTATTGGGTTGGATCACAAAGAAGTCATAATATCAACAGTCAAGATTGCAGACACATAGAAAACAAATTTATGGTTACCAGTGCGGGAGAGGGGCTGGGGAGGGATAAACTGGGAGTTTGGGATTTGCAGATACTCACTACTATATATAAAATAGATAAACAACAAGGTCCTACTGTATAGCACGGGGATTCAAAATAGTCAATACCTTGTAATAGCTTATAATGAACAAGAATATGAAAAGGAATACATACATATGTATACATATACCTGAATCACTATGCTGCACATCAGTGAGTAACACAGCAATTGTAAATCGATTCTACCTCAATTTAAAAAAAAAAAAAGACTAGCTTTGCTGCTAGTTCCTTGGAAACTGTTAGACTTCTAGTGTTGAACCACAGCATTTTAGTGTGGTTCATCATATAGCACTCTGGGGTTGTAAGATTAACATAGAAATTTTATTAAAGCCTCCAGGCCCCTAGAATGTTGTTTTAGGAGTTACCAGTTCGTGATGCTAACAAGGGGGAGGCTCTGGGCCTGAATGACTGCTCTCTCCTGAGCACACTGGACTGGGCCTCAGTCACGCCTTTCACATGCACACATCTTCCTGCTTAGGAAGGACCAGGTGAAAAAAATTTACTGCATCTGCACAAACATCCTGAACAATGGGAACATCAAGTCGTGTTGCTACGGGCCTCTGGTATCTCTATATCGCTTCACCAGAGCTTAGTGACCCAGGCCTAGCAATTCAACCTGAAAAGTCTGGGAGGAGCCTATGTGAAGGGAAAATGTGATGTGTTACTTAAAAAATGTCTGAGGACTCTGAGCCCAATCCAGGAATCCTGGATTTTTTCACACAAGAGCTGTGGTATCTTGAGGTAAACCATGATTCATGTCTATAATACATCTGGTTTTCCATCTTTATTCATCACAACTATAAATGTATAGTTGATGTGGTTTGGGGAGCAACCACTAGTGTTTCTTCCTCTGGAGGCTCCAGGCCCTGCATTTGATTGTAATGTCAACTTGGCTGGCTTCTAGCCCCAGCCTTAACACTGAAAGGGAGGGAGGAAGCCAAGGGCTTCTGCCAACCAGCTTGGGACAGAGCGGGCCCCGGAGCAGGGCTGAGTAGGGTATGAGTCTCCGATTTGAGAGGTAGGACAAAGCATCACATGTGGAAAGTGGCAGCAAGACTGGAACCCATGTGAGCTTCATCCCAGGGGTTCTTCGTCAGGGAACCCACATGAGCATCAGGAGCGACACAGCCTTGTATCACCATCACTCGTCTTTGAGACCTGTTTCACATCTCATCTCTCCACTGCCTTCTCCCCCTTCTCCACCTCCTCTTTCCAAATCAGTTGGCTTGTGCATCCTTTTCCAAAGGGCAGTTATTGTGAGTGAAGCTTCTGAAAGCAACCAGAGTGTGTACTTCCTTTTTTTTCAAATTTTATGCATGTTCTGTCTATTAATACTGGTGTTTTAAATGAATTTTTTAAAAGCTCTCCTAGTACTATGAAGATTCTGTCCTTTTTAAGCTCCTAGCTGTCTCATTAATTAAATCCCCACTGTTTTAGAAACCTCCGCAATGAGCTTCCTCTTTTCTGTGCCACTGAGGTTTATTTCTGTCTTTCATATCTTGAGACTGAACCTCATTCACACCTTCTGATTCTGATGTGACACCAAAAGCTGGAAATAATGCAGAGACTTCTCATAGTGCTGGTTTGGAACATGGGAAGCCTGTAATTTAGGAAACTTCAGTTTAGATTTTGTATGCAGTTTGCAGCTTTGAATTTGCTTTATCAGGATCACTGACTGACTTGCTGTCTGGTTATATGTATTCACCAACTCTGGAATGTGGGTGAATGAAGAAGATAAATACCTGTGTGGACAGGCAGTTAGCACTACAGGGGGACTTAAATACCAGGAAGGGGTTGTGTTTTTCTTACTCAGAGGACTGCTGGGTAATACAGACTATGACCCAGGCAAGTGACAGAGCCTCATCTGAAAATGGGGAGAGGATGATTGGGGGATATCACTGGTTACGATGACTTTACACAGTGAAATGTCTGTAGAACCCACCCCTCTGTGGACACTCACCCCCATCCAGCCTGTTTTCTCCCCCTCCCCTTTCCCGCAGGGAACTCACTTGGCTTGTCTTTGTGGCTGTGTTTTCCAGACAGTGGAAGAAATTGAGGGGGTCCTTGGCCGGGACCTGTATCCCAACCTGGCAGAAGAGCGGTCTCGATGGGAGAAGGAGCTGGCCGGGCTGAGGGAAGAGAACGAGAGCCTGACTGCCATGCTATGCAGCAAAGAGGAGGAGCTGAACAGGACCAAGGCCACCATGAACGCCATCCGGGAGGAGCGGGACCGCCTGCGGAGGAGGGTGAGCGCGCCCATTCCCACGGCCAGACCTGTCCCTGGGGGTGGGGCCGAGGGTGACCCCGAGAATTTGGTGGCATTTTTGGTCTTACGAATCACCATTCCTTTCTGGTTATGAAATCATTCTTGACAGTAGTCTGAAAGTGCTGAGGTTTAAAAACACTCTTCTCTGCAATCACAAATCTAAGTGGATGGTACAAATTCTACCGTGTAGTGATTCTCAGCCATTCCCCTGGTGCACACGTCTTCCCCAAGCTCAATTAGAATGTTCTTCTAAGGTAGGCTAATAACTTTTATAATTTGCAAAAATATATGGAATTTTCCCCTTTGCAGTTTCTTCTGTAAGTTTTCTTTTCAATTTATAGACCCTTTCTCACATAACCATACTGGATCTAGTATGAAATGTCATCTTCTCTAGTACAGAGATTAAAGGTAATAATCGTGTGTGTGTGTGTGTGTGTGTGTGTGTGTGTGTGTGTGTGTGTAATTCCTGGTAGTCACCCCAGCCTACTAAATGGCTCTGCAGCCTGAACAGGTCTGAGAACCACTTTGTTTGGGAAATACATCCATTACTAAAGGAGCTGATGTTTCAGGACAGAAACATTTGGCTGAATTGTTAAAGCACTCACTTGTCCAAAGAGGGTGTTTTTTTCTCAGGAACCCACAAGTACCCCTTTGTTTGGCTGTGAATTTGATCTGTGATTGGACAGGAGGTGAAGCAATGAATTCTTCCATCAGGATCAGTTCCCACTGAACCTCGCTTTGAATTACCGGACCGACCTAAGTCTCCTTCTCTGTCTTGGCAATATTAGAAGCTTGCTTTCTAGTTGTGCACTGACTGGTAGCTTTGCACACAGACAGAGGAGCAAGAATACATCTAGTTACTCACCATCACTCTTTAACTTGCTCTTCAATAAGGTCAGCCTGTGGACATCATCCTGCTTTCATCCACATGCTGTTTTCAGAGTTGCCATTATGTATGAATATGGAAGAAGTTACTATTTTTGAATGTTATCAACTCTTTTCCTCATTTGTGGCTAATGCCAGCATTCCTAACTCTCATATCTGAATGTCATTTTATCTGAACTCGTGCATAAGCTTATTTTCAGTACCCAGCTGTGTCGCTGTCCTTTCAACAGCAAGTGTAAATCATTGCAGTCAGCAAAGACTCTATCTGGGCAAGCTGGGGAAATTGACTTAGTGCTAAGGCCCACACCACCTGTAATTTCCTGGGTTACACTCCCCGATCATTATGACTAATGCCCTAATTAGGTGCGCTTGCTCTTGGCGTGCGGCATTCTGATGGTGCGTGTTTTGTGAAGGAAATGTTGGTCTTAGGCCTAATTACATATTGTGATTTAGAATAAATTTCCTCCTCTAACTTGAGTTACTATAGCACAAGACAGCCCTTGAGTGTGACTAGGAAAGGATAAAAAACCAAATTCCTCTTTTTCTAGTATTTTCTCCAACGGTGGAGGTTAGTATTTAGAACAGCAAGTGTGATGGTACCACACCAGGTACCTGGGCTCTGTGATCACCTGGTGTCACAGCCTGATGTAACAAGTCACCATGAGTCTTTGGCAAGTTACCTAACATCTCTGCTCCTCAGTTTCCTCCACCATGAAGTGGGGGTAATAATAGTGCCCAGTGCAGGAAAGTTAGGTAATCCTCATGAATTATCGAAGCACTTCACCAATGCCTGGAATGTAGTAAATGCTCAAACAGTATCAGTAGTTCTTGGGGGTAAAATCTAGAGTTCTCTCTTTAGTGCTCTGGAAAGAGTAACACCACATTATCTTTTTTTCCCTTAAGAATCTTTTAAGATATTTGAAGAACTCTGAGATGGACATGAAATACACACACACACACATTGTACTCAGAACCTTTCTTCTGATCACGTTTATTACATCTCAAGTTTTGCAGTTAGTATGATTTTATATGAAGGAACTTAAGGAACTTATAAAGGAGCTTGTGTCTCTTCCTCAGTTGGCAATGTCCTCAGGAATTTGTACACATCCCCACGAATTGGGTTTATTTCTCTTTTCCAAGACAGTTGTGGGTATCAGAATTTGCTAGATGTCTTTAGTTGCCAGCGTACTAGACTTTAAGTTCTGGATGACTTCCACCTACCACCACCCAACATATTTTATTTCCCTGAGGAGAAATATGTCTTTTGTGGTTGGTTGTCCTCTGTTCTTGACGATATGTAGTTCTATGCAGGGACTGAGGTACAGTTTCATCCCACAGTACCACGTAATAACATGGCTGGTTTGCCTTTGCTGTCTTTACAGCAACTCTGAATCCACAGTTCATCAGAGTTGCTTGTAAAGCAGTTGAGGCCACTTCTTTTATCACCCACATTCGTTGTGTAGAATTTGAACTGACCAGATCGATAGGATTGGTGCTTGCCCCCTGCCTGTAATTAAACAGAGTGCTCTCAGGAGGTTTTCTGAGCCTTGTTCAAGATTTAATGAAACTAGATCTTTAATGTCAGTTAACAGATCGTGCTACTTGGCAGAGCAGTAACTAAGGAACAACAGGCAGGCAATTTTTGTTATTGGTCCCAGCTCATTATTAAATGAGATAATTGTTTATTTCTGCATGCTCTGTAATAGAACCACTCATTTCCTCACACTTAAAGAAGTGAGTTAAATTTAGGCCAAGTAGAGTCTAGAAAGGGAAGCGCTTTGCTCTTTGTTCATTCATCAACTCATTCCGTCTGCACGGTCGGTCAGCTCCTCTGGGCCAAGCAGAGGGGATGCAGGATGACTAGGACACAGTCACTGGCCTGAAGGATGTTTGGGAGACAGGCAGGTAAACAGGTTGTTACAGTAGTACATGTCAAGCGGTTGGGAAGGGTGAACACAAAGGATGCCCTGGGAACTCACAGCAGGGACATGCGTTGGCAGGTTCAGCTTCTCTGCACTACACGTTTTTAACGTAATTGTTTAGGTCAACTGCCAGGTAGCAGAAAGGACCCATGTTTTCCCCAGATAGTTTGGTAAAGCAAACTGGATGTGACCACAGGCTCATGAATCTGTGTCCCATTGAATCAGACTTGAATCAAAAATAGGCCACACATTCCTTGAGATTTTGTGCAAATTTTTCAGAAAGTTCTGCACATCCATGGCATAAGGTGATGGTAGCAGAGTTTCTTCCTTGTACCCAGGGCCTACCTGGTTATCTTCACCATGTCTGGGAATGAATTCCATCACCCCTTCTAGGCTTCCTTCATGTTTGGGGTCTGACTTCTGCTTTGACTTTCTGGCCATCACTACGATCAATTCAAGAGACTAGAAGGCATGCTATTTTGAACCAAATAAAAGCCCCTCTCTGTCTGCCCTAGAACCTTCAGTGTTAGTTAATTGACTTTCTGAGTGGGTTGGGGGTTGTGTTTCTACCAGTCATAAGAAGATACAAGCGCCTGTCTTTCCTATACCAATTACTCTTGATTCTGAGATTCATTGTTCCATTTGCGAAGAGATTTCATTGTTCTGTGTTCCTGGGATCCATGTAATAAAAACGCGATCACCCAGTTCACCTGAAGTCTTTTGAAATATAAATGAGGACTCTGAACTCCAGATTCTTAAATGGCTGCCACTTGGTCAGAAAAAAAGACAGGTAAACCTCCAGAATGCCGTGTTGCCCTCTTCCTTCCCTCTCATCTCATCCTCCTTAGCAGATAGTAACTCCAAAGTCCTGATAATGTCGCGTTTGGGGGGCTGGGGAAGGGAGTGGCAGAGCTGAGCGAGGAAGCCCTTAACGAAGGATGCAGGTACAAGAGAGAAATTTCCTTCACACGTTGCCACTCTCTGAGGACCCATTTACTCCATAAGCTTTTCAAAGTAACAGTCCTATCATGGACTCCTTTGAGCCACTTAAAAAGAATCTGTGATTATAGTTTTATTATAGCAGAAAGATACACATGTGAACCAACCAAAAGGCACAGGTGAAGTCTGGTAGAGTCCCAGAGAAAGCTTCCGGCTCTCTCCTCGCCGTGAGTCCCGCATGCTGTTACCTCCTTTGTGCTGGAACCTGTGACCACACTGAGTATTGCCAGCCAAGGACGTTCACCCAGGCTTCAGGACCCAAAGTTCTCATTGGGGTTTGATTATGTAAGCGGGATTGATTGGATCACTGGCTGTGTGGTTGAACTCTTCCCAGTTCCTGCTTCTTCAGGGAGATCAGGCTGATATCCTTTGGCCACTTTTCAGTTTGTGAGTCTGACAGGATGGTGGTGCTGCAGTGTGACTGCCTGCATCTTTCTCCTGCAGGAGGGCTCTCGGAGGTGTGAGGGGTCCGGCTCTGTCCTGCTCAGTCAGGTGTGCGGCATGCGCCCATCCCATGAACTCCCGTTTACTGAGCATCCCCTTACATGATCCCAGGGCCCACCTCCACCCCTAGAGCCATTAGTTCTAAATCCATCGGTGCCAGTTTCTAAATACTGCACTGGTTCTGAACACCACATTGAATCCACCTTCAGTATTTACTCACCTTATCTCCAAGGGCACTTGGCGATCTGTGTTCATGTTTAAGGGGTTGGAAAGAGGAGTCCAAATTAAATGAAAGAATCTGCTTAGAAAGAGTAATGACCTTGAAGGCTGACCGTACGTTTTATTACATACTTCTTTCTAGTAATGAATCCATTGATAATATGTACTTACTTTTAGGCTATATGTATAATATATACCCCTACTGGGAGTTAAGCTGTATAGCATTATACTGAGGTGACCAGAGCCGGGTCTGTCTCCGAAGCAGCCATTCACTTTGCCTGAATTATCTCCCGTTACAGTCTACGTCAGTGTCACTTTGATATTTTTAACCAAAAATCAGTAGCAGTGGAGATATTTCTGGAAGTGAAATTATTGTGACCTTATGTAGGTTAAATAAAGCTTTATCTCCGCTTCACCTTATTTGGCCTTAGCTCATGTGAGCTCTTCACCGTCTGCCTCTCCCTCCATGATACCTTTCTTGACCCAGTGTCTGTATATTGAAAATGCATGA